CACCTCCTCTACTCTTCCTCCGCTCCTCTCTCACTGATTTCTTTTGTAAAAAATCATAAGTATAAAAGCAATTAAAGAAAACTTAAAACATACATCAGTCAGAACAAAAATCAAGCCGAGAGAGGTTTTCATGAAGTAATCTCCGCAGAAAAATGACGACGTAAATCATACCCCAGTCTCAAACGCAAGACTAAAGTTATTACATTAAGCCTTCATAGACCGATCAGTAAAACAAAACACGAATATAAACTTAAATTATTTCTCTAAAGAACTTGACTTCGCTGGGTTGGTCATGTTGTAAGAATTCCTGATCGCACCATCCCAAAGGCTACGGTAGTATTCTATTCTGAGCTGTCCTTGGGGAAGTGTAAAGTTGGAGTACCAAAAAATCATTATAAAGGCGCCCTGGTAATGTCTCTAGTGGACTTCAGCATTCCTTGAAAATGGAAGAGCCATGACATGCTCAGTTGGAGACAGCACTCAAAGTAGGAAGCAAATCATGTGAAGCTTCACAAGTTAGAAATGCTGAAGCCAAGAGAGAAGCCAAAGTAGAAGTGAAGCTTTTTATCATAATATGTCAAAATCTTTACTTCCAGAATTGGTTTCATTGGCCAAAGCAGAAAGCACAAATCATCGTAATCCTTATTTCTGGGATGAGTCATTGAGTAATAGTTAATTACTATTCTCCTCTGTAGATGTATTAATGAACAAACAACATAATATATCATTACCCTCCGTCTACACAAAACCAAACTTAAGGCAGCAATCTCTGGTGCAAAAGTAAACCTAATCATTTTTCGGGTTCAAGAAAATCAACTCTGTGCTTATTACCTTAAGTTTCCGAGCAGCTGTCTGTGCAGCATAGTACGTGTCGGACTCTCCATCGGTCACGACGATGACCACTTTCCGCACGCCGGGTCGAGCGCCGTTATTCTGGTTCAAGGACTGGAGTCTCACAAAGTCCAGGGCCTTGTCTGTGGCCGTGGTGCCGCGAAGGTGTGGGGCTCCTTGAAGTATCTGAGCTCGTCGTCACGTTCGGGTGGGATATGGTGAGGTAATACGACACGATGAGGTGAGACAAGGTTAGGGGATCTAAGATGAGGTGTGATTTTTTTAAAGTTTTAATTTTTCTCTTTTGTATTGGGGGGGTGGGGGTGGGGAAAAACAGGAGGTGTTAGGTGAATTGAATAGGGGGCAGGTGAGGTGCGATGGTATAAGATGTCAGGTGAGGTGAGATGGGGTGAGACAGGCTGATGTGGTTCTCAGGTTAGGTGAGATGCGGCAAGACAGGGTGAGGTGATGTCATGTGAAGTAAGAGGTAAGATGGGGTGTAACGAAAAGAGATGATGTTAGATGTGGTAAGATTCGGTGAGGTAAAATAGGGGTGGTGACAGGTGAGGTGAGACGGGGTAAGGCCAGATGCGGTGATGTCAAGTGAGGTGAGGTGAGATGGGGTGATGTCAGGTGAGGTGAGACGGGGTAAGGCCAGATGCGGTGATGTCAAGTGGGGTGAGGTGAGATGGGGTGATGTTAGGTGAGGTGACCCGTTGTGAAGTACTATATTGCAAAACTCACATTTTGACCTGTTATAAAGTGTTGAGGCAAGTGTGTCTTATTCTTTCAAGGATTCGGAGCACGTATACAAAAGAATCTTCCTCACCGTTTAGAGAACTACAAGTCTCTGCTGAAGTCCAGGCTCTTTTTGGTTGAGGATACAATATTAAGCAGGTGCGTATTAACAAGTATCAAACAACACAGTATGTCGGAGCTGGTCTGTATTTCATTTATTCATCACTACGCAGTGTAACTTATTTCTCCATTCTTGTTCTATTTGTTCTATTTTTTCATTGAATGTAGTGTGTGTGTGTGTGTGTTTGTGTGTGTGTGTGTGTGTG